CTCGCAGTCGGGCGGCGGCGAGCGGGGGCGACACACCGCAGCGAGTACTGGTGATTAACGACCACGTGATCCACTGGCGAAGTACCCAAGGCTCTCCCCGCTTGACCATCTAGACCAGAAGATCTGTATACGAGTCTGCTTGCGAAACTCTACTTGCAGTTCGACTCTAAGGAAATGCTTGCCTTGATCATAACGACGTAATTAAGTGCAATTAATGATCATTAATTCAAGTGTAGATCTAGAGATCTTTACATCGTCGATTGTGAAGATTGCAGAATATACAAGTCAGCAGAAACAGGCAACTGCTAAACAAGGTAAGCGGGAGCGTAATAATAAAATAGTCACCCCCGAGTTGCTTAATCCCCTGCTCCTCTTGGGGGCGAGCCCTAGCAACTGAACAAAACAAGGAACGCAGCGACTCTTGTTATGCACAAACGGTTCCGTAGAAGGCCGTTGCTTGATTCAATGCGATACGTTTTAGTCGAACATTCTGCGTACATTTTCAAAGGACACTTTTCCTTTGCCACAGTTAAGGTACATGCGACCTTTGTGACGACACAAACATATCATCACAACAAACACGCACGTATATTTACTGCATAAGGGTTATATGTATGACACTCATACACATAACATATATATATATATATCAGATTTAAACTACACATAAATGCATATATATATATTTATATAGTATACATATACTATACGATATATATAATTATATATGTATATATATAATATATATTATATATATATAATATTATATTATATAATATATATTATCTGTGTGTGTGTGTGTGTGTGTGTGTGGTGGTGTGTGTGTGTGTGTGCGTGTGTGTGGGTGTGTGTGTGTGTTGTAGTGTATGTGTGTGTGTGTGTGTGTGTGTGTGTGTGTGTATATAAATATAAATAAATATATTGCAATATATACATACATATAACATATAGATGTAGGTATATGTATAATATATTTATAGATATTATATCGTTCCATACCCCGATTGGTCATTAAACATATGTGTAATATATAATACCATCCCCTCCCAGACATCTGTAAATACATATGTGTAATATTCTATATATATATATAGCTATCCATATTATTATATAGTATATATATACAATTAATGAATGAATATAATGATAGATAAGAATCATAACTAATAATTGATACATAATAGGCTAGAGGAGGACGTGTTGTATATTATATACTATATATTAATTATTCATAATCTAATATTTTGATTAATTATTTACAATAATAAGGACAATGGTAATGATAATACTAAGTTTAGGAATGACAAGTAAATGATATATAAATAATTATAAGTAGTACATATGATGAGGAATTTCATATACAGATATATATATTATTATTATATCATTATTATTATACAATAATTCATTTTCAATATGCTATCTATATTATGTAGTATTTGTCAATTAGATGTATTGATTTATCATCATACACATTATAGAGCTATTAAAATTATATCAATCTAATGATAATAGTTATTAGTTATATATATCGCTATATATTATAATCATTATGAAGATATATATATTAAATCTAGTGATTATAATAGTGATAATGATTTACTATTATATTAATGAATATTTCACTATTTAATCATATGTAAATATGTGGATGAGATCAGAGAAATAAAATTTAGCTAATGATAAATGTTTGTGCATGATGTGATTTAGTTTGTGTAGATGTGTGGTGAAGCTGGGTAGTGAATGATTATGGATGGTATGGTGTGGAGAGTGTGATTGGATGTATTGTAGTGTATGTGGATTGTGTTGGATGTAATGGAATTGTGATAGAAGTGAGATAGTTTGGTTGTGTGGAGTGATTGTGTTTGGATGATGTAGTAGATATATGATGATGACGTAAGATAGTTTGAATGAATCATTATAAATATGATTATAATATTCATGGATGAATATTACGATGATATATTGAAACCTTTTATTCTAGTGTTATACAAAAAAGGAAAGTATAATAAATATATACAAATATACAGAATTACATGAGATAATTAAATATAAAGTATATTATATATATAAAAAAGTGAAATTGGCACATTAAACGTGACTTACTTAAAGAATTAGTCAGTTTCAAATGTAATATATTTTCATAGAGTTTTCATTTGCGATTTAGCTATCAAAAGAAAGGTAGACATGAGAGCAAGTCATAGGTAGGAGAAGATAAATGGAGGATGCATAGAAGAGGAATAGATGGAGAGCGATATGAGGGGAAAGGTATAGATATAAAGGAGAGAAGGAGAAAAAGATAGCGAGGAGAAGATAAGTATGAAGGAAAAGAAGAAGATAGGAGATGGAAGGATATAGAGGGCAAAAAGAAGCGTAGATATGAATGAGGAGAGGAGAAGAAGAAGATAATGACGAAGGGAGAGAGAAGAAGAGGAGGATGGGAGAGCGATATATGAGGGGTGGAAAAGGAAGAGAATAGAAAGAGGAGGAAGAAAAGTAAAATATGGATAGATAAAAGGGGAGAAGGAGAAGAAGGAGGCTAGTTACAGAGCAAGACTGAGACATAATAAGACAGGATGAGGAGGAGACTGAAGAATAAAAGGAGAGGTCAAAAGATGATTATATAGTAATCTTATATTGGGTAGGGAGGCAGGAGATAAGGGGTAAATGAGAGAGGATATAGAGTGGGAGGAAAAGGAAAGTGATAAATGTAAATAGAGGTAAAGAAGAAGTATGTAGGAGAGAGTATGAGGGTAGAGGGAAAAGGCATACAAAGAGAGAATGCTGAGAGCGACAAATCGACAACAACAGCAGGTGATAATAATAAGAAGAAAATTAGAGATAGAGGTAGGAGAAGGATATTATGGATTAGTAGAGAGCAGTGTAAGGATGGAAGAATATCGAAAGAGGCCGATGATGGAAGAGACGATAATGAGGGGAAGTAGGAAATAAAATTAAAGAAAAGAAATTAGAGAGGTATTAACGAGATGAAGGAGAAGAGAAGAGGAGGTAGCGAGAGAGGTAAGAATAAACGGACAAGCAGCGATCAGAGAAAGAAAAATTCAGAGAATAAATGATGGAGGAAGATAAAAAAGAGTTAATAAGACTGAGAGGGAGATGAAAGAAGATAACAGTAGGAGAAAAAAGATGATAGTAGATAGAATATAAGTAATTATTGAGGATATAGGGATAAAAATGATTAAATGATCACGAAATAATATATAAGAAGAGGATATAATACAAATCAAGAAAATACTGATGATAGGAATAACAGATGCTAGAGAATAAACATAGAAAAGAAAATTAAGATCAAGCAAATATATCGAGATGAATAAATATACAAATAAAAAAGAGGGAAAGTAACAGAGTAAAGAGAAGTAAAACCTAGCTACGAACATATAGAAAAAGCTATATAAAAATAAAGATACATTAGAAGGAATGTGAAGAGACATTAAAATAAAGCAAATAAAAAAAATATAAAAAATAAAATAATACATGATATAAAAAAGAAAAAAAGAATAATAAAAAGGAAAAAATTAAGATTTGAATATATAAGCATATAAAAAATAGTAAAGATATAGTTAGATAATAAAAGCACAGAAGTAATAATATGTGTTGAATGTGTTGTGATGAAAGGATGGTTGAGTCGAATGTTGTGTGTAGGAATGGGAAATTAGTATAGATTATTATAGACAATAGATAAGCTTTGAGGGGAAAGCAAAAAGGAGAAAAGAGAAGCAGAAGCATATGCTAGTACGGTACTCTAAGAAATTATCAAATAGAAGAGTAGTCAGGACATGTGATGATTATAGAAAGAAACAAAAAATAGAGAAAAGAAAAACAAAGGAATAGAAGAAGAAAAAAACATACTCAGAGATATAATAGAAAGTAAAATAACATGAGATATATTTGTTTATAGAGACGCTGACGAAGAGCTAACGGTACGCGATATAGATTTCAATCGCTTACCTGGCAACTGACTCATCTCTGCGTATATCTTCTGTTCAGGTGATCGAAACCAGAACGATACTGCTATTCTTTATACAAGCGTATCTCTCTTGTATATAGAAAAATATAGATAATTAAAACACAAAAAAAAAATATTGGAATTTGTTTCCTAGCAGTTTAGATTCGGACATATAGAGTATTGGACACTAACGGGAAGTCATGGAGATGGACTATTTGGAATATATCAATAGACATAATGCAGCAGATCTGAACGTGCATCGTTTGACTATATAACAGAGCATCATTGATCTTTGACGAGAAACGAGGTGAAGAAGATGCTCGTGCGGTGATTGTGGTGGATTTATAGGGGATAGGGTAGTGTTGATAATTCACTTGTATATTCCTCGTTAGAGTCAGGCTATGGAGAGATTGTGAGGTAGAGGGGCGTAACAGCACCTCAAGTTACGTGGAAAGGTGAGTCTAGCTTTTTTGCTGGCTAGGCCGGAGATATATAAGATATATCGGAGACTTGAGCAGAGTGAAGGTAGGTGATTGGAGTTCATGGTCATCGAGAGGAGAGATTGAGGGAGGTGTAGAGGAGTGCAAGAAGCGTAACAGCTCTAAGGAGTAGCATAATGGAGGGTTAGGGGACTGCGTTAGGAGGAGGGGGACCAAGAGAAGAGCAGAGGAGGAGGAGAACGGGAGCCATAGTTCAGTATGCAGAGGCTTTCCCTTCTGATGGAATTTTCGCTTGCTTTGTTACTCTTTCTTTTTTTGTCTGATGGTTTTACAGAGAAGCTCATACTAACTCTCTATACTTATCTCGGTCTCGTATACGTCTTAAGTGGGTCTGGGGTCATTGATTTTTTTAACGTTCTCGCTATTCTGCACATTACTTCTAAGTTCTTTCATGCTGTTCTCGATCTTATATCCCAGCACTAGTCTATTCTCGGGTGCATTTTGCAACTGCTAGGTAGCCTCTCTCCTTCCAACTTTTTCTACCATTTCATTTTTGATTTTTCGTGTCTATCCTCTTATCTATCTTATATTCTCTCTCTCTTCATTTGGCTTCTCTCTCTCTCTCATCCTTCCTCCTCCCCAATCTTGCATTTCAACTTAATAATTATCTTGATTACAACTCACTAGCATCTACATAATAGTAATACGTATGACTTTCCTGATTATATGCTAATGAAGCTCTACTTACTATTTCTCTCTCCATCTCCTCATACCTCTTTCTCTCTCCTCGTCTCATCAATCTCTAAGTTTTGTCTACATTATATCTATCTTCGCTTTACTATCGTATCCATCGCTTACTCTCAAGTTCGTGTATGAATCGTGATCTGCTTTACGTTTACGTTCTTTC